AAGGAACTCACGAACTACCCGCACCGAATCAATAGAAGGGACCTTAACGCTAGAGTCACGAACATATGCTAAATAAGCCAAACACTCCTTCTCGACCATATGCCGAGCCTTCATATATGAGATAACCCTACGGGTAGAATGACTAGGAGTCCCTCTCCACTCCAAACGAGGTAAATCCAGCAAAGCTAAGGTCACAGTCTTGGCATGACAGTCCAAGATAATGTGGTAAGGTGATAACCAGTTCATCCCCAATATGACGTCGAAATCAACCATGTCCAGAAGTAACAAATCTACACGAGTCTCAAGACCCCCAATCACAATTATACATGAACGATGGACATAATCTACCACAATAGAATCACCCACCAGTGTAGACACATAAATAGGAGCACTCAAGAAATCACTAGGCATGACCAGATACAGTGCAAAATAAGATGACACATATGAGTATGTAGATCCTGGATCAAATAAAACCGAAGCATCTCTACTACAAACCATAATAGTACTTGTGATAACTGAATCAGAAGCCTCGGCCTCGGGCCTGGATGGAAGAGCATAACATCGAGGCTGGCCCCATCACCCTGAACTATATCTCTGGACGGCCTGCTGCTGGCTGGCCTCCACCTCTAGCGGCCCGAGCTCCACTTCTAACACCTCTAACTCCACCTCTAACTCCTCTACCTCCACCTCTGGCTGGGTGGGTGGGCTGTGGAACACTCGGTGCTTGAACCATGGCACGGGAACCCGGATGCTGAGAGTTGCTCGATGCTCGAGGACAATATCTAGCAACGTGCCTCGTGTTGCCACAAGTAAGACAAGCCATCGGCTACTGGGGCTGATGAACCTGAAAACTCTGAAGCGGAGGTGCACTGATAGGAGCTGGTGATGCAATGTAGGACTGCTGATCAGAATACTGCATGTGAGAACCATGACCACCTGGGGCACTGTGAGAAGCCTGAAGTGCTGACTGAAAAGGCCTAGGAGGATGGCCTCTACCAAACGAATCTCTGCCTCCAGACGAGGAACCACTGAATCTGCCTGAATGACGAGGCCTCTTGTCAGACCCCTGACCACCTCTCTGCAACAGAATCATCTCAACTCTCCTGGCCACATTGGCCGCCTCCTGGAAAGAAATCTCGCTTCGTCTCCTTAGCCATCTGAAGTCGAATAGGCTGAATGAGTCCCTCAATGAACCTTCTCACCCTCTCTCTCTCAGTGGGAAGTATGATAAGAGTATGACGGGCCAAGTCGATGAATCTGGTCTCGTACTGAGTGACAGTCATAGAACCCTGTTGGAGATGCTCGAACTACCTCGTAGATCTCTCTCCGAGTTATAGGGAGAAAATTCTCTAGAAATAGCTGAGTAAACTGCTCCCAAGTCAAAGCTGGCGATTCGGCTGGTCTAGCCAAGCAATAATCTCTCTACCAAGTCTTGGCGGATCCAGATAAGAAAAAAGCAGCAAAGTCGACCCCGTGGTCTCCACTATCTCCATGTTCCTAAGAACCTTATGACAGTTGTTTAGATAATCTGGGGATCCTCAGAAGATGCACCGCCGAGAGTAGTAGTGAAGAGCTTGGTGAACCTGTCTAATCTCCACAAAGCATCAGCAGACATAGCTGCTCCATCAACGGTTTGAGCCACCACACCCGGCTGAACTGCTCTAACTGGCTGAGCTGCTGGAGTCTGGAACTGGGGAGCCATATGCTCCGGAGTGCGAGTAGCAGGAGTCTGGGCTCCTCCTCTATCCTTAGAGACGGCTGGTGCTAAAGGAAGAAAGCCTGCCCATGTGACACTCTCCATAAGGCCCACTAGACGGACCAGAGCATCCTGGAGTACTGGGGTAGTAATAAACCCCTCTGGGACCTGAGCTGGGCCCATCGAAACTGCCTGGGCCGGAACCTCATCATCAAAGTCAACCTGAGGCTCCGCCGCTGCTGCTGCTGCTCTGGCTGCTGATCAGCGGATGAGGAAGCGCATGTTCTCGGCATCTGCGAAAGAACAGAGTAGAAATCCAAGCAGCATTACGAAACCAAACCGCACGACAAGAAAGAATAGATGTGAAGTTTTTCCTAACTCTGTAGCCTCTCGGGGATAAATACAGACGTCTCCGTACCAATCCCTCAGACTCTACTAAGTTTGTCTGTGAATTATGAGACCCATGTAACCTAGGGCTCTGATACCAACTTGTCACGACCCGGACTTTCCACCATCGGGAGTCGTGATGACACTTATTAGTGAAAGCTAGACAAACCAACCAATTGAATTATTTACCTTGTTTCCATTCTAAATCCATTAACAATTAAGAACCAACAGTTATCAATCAACAAAATTTACTAAGTGGCAGATTAAATTTCAAGAATAATAATACTGCAAATACCATTCCATAACAAATCTACCCAAGACTGGTGTCACAACTTTACAGACTGTCTAAGAGTACTACAAATAAGGTCTGAAAGAAATAAATACAACATTGTCTCTGGAAATACATGAAAGAAATAGGAATAGTAGATAGAAGGAGACGCCAAGGCCTGCGGACTCCTGCAGGACTATCTCGGGTCGCCTGATGAACAAGAAACAACAATCTCACTACGGTCCGAAGTCTACAGCACTGGGATTTGCACAAAAGAGTGCAGAGTGTAGTATCAGCACAACCGACCCCATGTGCTGGTAAGTGTCTAGCCTAACCTCGGCGAAGTAGTGACGAGGCTAGGACCAGACTACCAAATAAACCTGTACAGTTAAATCATATACATCGAAAATAGAAGCAAATAATTACAATTAAGTTGGGCAAGTGAAACATGCTGCGGGGAGTAACAGATAAGAACAAAACAACAGTAGAGAAATGTAAGGAATGCCATAAATCAATTACCAGCAAATATAAGGAAATAAGAACAAGTACACATGTAATACCGTTGCAGGCGTGCAACCCGATCCCATTTCATATAGTACCATTGCAGGCGTGCAACCCGCTCCCATTTTATATTGTACCGTTGCAGGCGTGCAACTTGCTCCCATTTCATATAATTTTCGTTGCAGGCGTGCAACCCGCTCCCATTTCATATATTTCTGTTGCAGGCGTGCAACCCGCTTCCATTTCATATATTTCCATTGCATGCGTACAACTCGCTCCCATTTCATATATCAACACCCAATCATAAAAGAATCTCGGCAAGGGAACAATAGCATAATAACCACATCCCGGCAAGGGAATAATAATACCACAACAACATCCTGCAAGGGAATAATAATGATAATCCTGACATGAAGCACAATAAACCACAACGGAGTCATAAAGATTACAATACAAGACTCACGGGCATGCTTGACACCGACGTATAGATACTCGTCACCATGCCTATACGTCGTACTCCACATTTATCACATAGCAGATAAGACACAACTCCTAATCCCTCAAGCTAAGGTTAGACCGAACACTTACCTCGATGTCACGAACACAATTCGAGCCTCAACTATCGCTTTACCTCTTGATTCCACCACCAACTCGCTCGTATCTAGCCTCAGATTACTTAATTATATTAATAATTGCTAAATGAATCAGTTCTAATGCATGGAAATTTTTTTAAATCGACCTCTGGCCCGCTTGGTCCAAACCCGAAATTCGGACCAAAACCGGAGTACCCATTCACCCCCGAGCCCGGATATATAATTGGTTTTGGAATCCGACCTCAATTTGAGGTCTAAATCCCCAAATTTCAATATTCTTAGGTTTTACCCAAAATTCTCAATTCCACCATGAAAACCCTAGATTCTAGGATGAAATCTTGTAAAAAGAAGTTAAGGAGTAAAAAAAAATGAGTTAGAAATCACTTACTAATGTTTTGGAGTAGAAAAGTTGTTTGAAAAATCACCTCTTATATTTTTGGGGTTTTAAAAAATGAAAAATAACTGAAAACCCTATTTAAATATACCCCTCTGAGACCCTCTATGCGGACCGCACAAAAAGGAATGCGGCCGCAGAGATCACAATGTTGACTGCAGTGACATGCTTTAGTATTTTGGCCATAACATTCTCTACAAATGTCCAAATTGTGATTTCTTTACCTTTCTGGAAACTAGACTCGAAGGGGTACAAATTTCATTTTGAATCATCTCAAACTTTCTTGTAAATCAAAAGATATAGGCTTACGAAGTCAGACCAGTGAAATTTTTCCTCACCGCGGACAGCACAAAAAGGAGTGCTGCCGCAAAGGCCCCTCCGCAGTCAGCACAAAATCAATGCGGTCAGCACTGGCGGGTTTAGAGATCTACAACATCTCTGGACTTGCAACAGCTATGTTTTATGCCTAAACCATCCCGGAACCTACCCCGAACTCTCCCGATCCCTCGGGACTTCAAACCAAATATGCATACTAACTCAAAAATATCATATGGACCTACTCGTGCGATCACATCATCAAAATAACATGTAAAATCATGAATTAAACCTCAAAACTCAACATTTTCATCAAGAACTCTCAAAGTTCATAACTCTTCAACCTGAAGTCCAACTCACGTCAAATAAACTCCGTTTTTCACCAAATTTCACAGTTATCTTTTAAATACTATAACAAGTTTGTACCGGGCTCCGGAACCAAAATACGGGCCCATTACCAATGGTTTCAAACATTAATTCTTTTCTTCATTTCTTAGATAATTCCGCAAAACAATTTCTTTCAAAAATTAATTTCTAAGGCTTGAGACCTCAGAATTCATTTCCGGGCATACACCCAAGTCCCATATTTTACCGCGGACCTCCCGGGATCATCGGAACACGGATCCGGGTCCGTTTGCTCAAAATGTTGACCAAAGTCAACCAAAAATCAAATTTTTAACTCTACAAATTTCTATTTCTCATCTTTTCACATAGAAGGCTCTCTGGATATGGGTTCGGACTACCCACGCAAATTAAGGTGAGGTAAAAAGAAGGTTTTTAGGCCTCGGAATACTAAATTTACTTGCAACACAAGTGATCCTTTTGGGTCATCACAGTTGTTTCCACTTGCTTTGTGCTGCTTCCTTGCCCTTGCGCCTATTTTTTTAGTGATCCATCAATATAACTTTTTATATGTGACTCCATTTTCTTCATGTTCCTTTTTAACCTTGAAAGTCTTAAATATTTTTCAGATGTTGATTCATGTTTTGTGGCCTTTTCATTTCTTTGTAGGTACTCCAGATTCAGTTGACCCTTTTTTGTGGTTATGGAGCTGGTAGTAATATATATATATATATATATATATATATATATATTTGTCTATTTTAGCTTCGTTCTTGGTACAACTGCTAAGAGGCATGTAATATCTGTTGTAAAAATAGTGCATAGTCTCATTTTAGAAAGACTTAAACTTGCTCGACATCACCAACAGGTATTGTTGTCTAATTTATACCTGTCCTAAATATATAACCGTTGTATATGCAATTATTCAAAAAATATTTCAATATGTTTTCATAGCTTCCAATTTTGTTGATTTGTGAGATCACATCATAACCTATTTCGCCTAATTGCAGCTAGAAAAAGAAATTACTTCATATGGAAAAGAACATAGGTAGCCTTTCAATTTACTCTTTTCTCTGTTGAAGTTGGTTTCCTTCGAGGAAAGTCTGAGTAGGTGAGACTATCAACTTCTCTGGCAGGATGCCTTCTATGCGTTTATTGCAATCAAATTTATTTTTCCCCTTTTTGTTTTGAGGTTGTTCTGTCATATTAAGTTGCTTACTTCCATGACGATAAAGTGTTGTTGCAGCTAAAAAGAAAAAAAATTGAAGGATATAGCATGGGTAGTCTTGTGACTTACCCATCTCAAGAAAGAAAAAGTTTGACTTTGGACGAACTTGAATTGATTATGGAGTTAAATTTGTTTATTTTTCCTCTTGAAAGTTAAAGAGTGTAATAGAGGATATCATTAAAAGTAACTTGAAAAAGATTGGAACTTAAGTGAATTGTCATCATCACAATATACTTGATTTGATGATCAAAAACTATTTTAGTAAGCAATCTACACAAAAAAAATTAACCGATACAATCATAGTGGCATTGTACCAACGATTTTCAACTTCTTAAAGAGGGATATGTTAGCTAAGATCTTTGGAGAACATATTTATGGTGGGAAGGTAGGAATTGTAAGGTAAGGATTAAAAGAATGATAAGGAAAAGACTACAAAATTTAAATTATGAGAGTGAGTTCCTAACTTCACAACAACAGCACAGGATTTGAGTTGTTGTTGTGAAGTTAGGAACTCACTCTTAAATTTATTTTGAGGCCACAAAAACTCTCCTTTGCCTTACAGGAACTTTTGTAAGGCCTCTTTTGCCTTATAGGAATTATTTCTTGGATTCGAACTTTCCCATTAGAAAACTATAAAGTGATATTTGAAAACAAATCCTCATGTATTTCATTCTGTTTCATTTCTGGTTATTTGCTTAATTCCATAGAGTCCATACTGAATATTATTTAACATAAAAAGAGTAGTTTTGTTTGAATCATCTACTTGGAGGTAAACCCAAAACGACTTGATTCAGGGTACAAAAGCATATTGTAGTGGAGGGATGCTGATGCTGGATTCTTATTGTGCAACTACTTTGGCGCTATTCCTCTAATGTACAATCTAGAAGCACCAGTCGTCTTCTTTCTTTCCACCTCCTTCTTTGCTTCCATCTTATTTTTGCTCTGCTCTTTCTGGTAAGTGTCTCTTGGATTCTTCCAGAATTCCTAAATTTCTCATTTTGAGTTCCATAATATCTCTATGTGCTCTATTTTTTCAGTTCTTGTCAGCTTTACTCTGTTATTTCCCTGAAATCTTGGTGGTTGTCCAGCAGCTTCTCTATTTGTTTGGATATTCCAGTCTCTATTTGTTCGGATATTTCAGTGCTGAATTTTCACATGCATGTCAACCTTTGCACACTGATACATTGTAGGTGTTTGTTAATGTCTTAATCAACAAAATCTTTTGACTTTCTGCATGTGCTTACCTTCTATCAAAGCTTTGTTTTTCTCTTCTTTTTTTCAAGTGTGCACTTATAGAAATACTCTTAAATCAGACCATTTCTTCCATCTATATTTTTGTTACTATTTGTCTTACTTTGTATTAGCAAGAAAAATTAGATATAGATATATGTATTTTCAGATTCATACCAACCTAAAAATATTAGATTAAATTATACAAAACTATAAAGTGTTTGGAATAGAAATGTGTGGCAACAAAGATACTATCGATTTATTCATGTATTTTTCAAAAGACTGAGGTATGACAAATTGTCGCTACAAAATTGAGACACCCCACTGCAAACTTTGATTTTTCCGCAGTTGATGCAATTAAGGTGTTTGATGATATGCTTGGAAAAACAAAATGATTCTTATGCTCCTCTATCAAAGGAAAATCCATGAAAAATAGAACCCATTGTTAAAGGAATATAAACAATCTGAATGGACAATTTACTGTTAATGCCCTGGTTTTATGCAATAATGAATTTGGAATTGGATTGACTTAATTTGAATGTTCTTATAGGATTGTTGATAAGTCTTTGTTGAGCTTCGAAGGCAAATTGACTGATCCTTTTCTTCTCAATAATTTTGCCTTTGTTTTCAAGATATCTTGGCCTAAAATTAATCTGATTAAGCCTATTACTTCACTCCTAAAAGCTCTATGCTATTGATATTTTGCAGTAATAGTTCTACCCTCCAGTTTTCTGATTAGCTTCATATTCCCTATGAATAAAAATCTTGATCGGTGGATTTTCATGTTCTGTGGTAATATGAAATGTAGAACATCTAGATGTTGGATTTTTGCTTTTTGTTCCTGATTATTTTGGAGTTGTCTCGATTCCATCCGCATACTATAGTTTGCAGTGAGCTTGGGTGATATTCCTTAGCTTTTAGACTTAACCCATTTTAAGCTTATTGTACCTCGCATGCGTGTGGAATTATTTTTTGGCCATCATGTATATATGTTGTGTGTGATTTTTTTTCTGGCTCACAATCTTTTTACAATTTTCTACATAATCACTTTTTTCAGCGTAAATCAATTTAAACGACTTTACAACTCTTTTTCCATTTCCTTTTTTTTTTTAAAAAAAAAAGATTGTGGAAATATTTCCCAAATGATTTATTTTTATTAATCTGATGTTCAATAATTTAGTGTGTGAATTAGTTGTCTTTTTCTGGATTAAGTTATGTTAATTTTGATTTCATCATTGTCGTATGATATTTTATGTTGTTTTATTATGAGTCTATTGATATTACTAATATAATGTCTCTTGTTGCCTCTTTGAGTCGAGGGTCTCCTGGAAACAGCCTCTCTACCCCTCGGGGTAGAGGTAAGGTCTGCGTACATATTACCCTCCCCAGACCCCACTTGTGGAATTACACTGAGTTGTTGTTGTTGTTGTTATTGTTGTTGTTGTCGTGTGTAGTCTTCTTTTCTCACTTGTAAGACAAAGCAGTGTGCAATATATCAAGGACATCAGTTAGAATCAGGTTATAAGCTAAAGAAGATCACAGAGGAATCAGTTTCACATTGGAAGCATGGAGTTTGAAGGTAAATGAGGATTCCAAAGTTGCCTCCTCTCCAAACTCACACACATCATTGTTTTTCTTATTTCCAAATACTTTTTTTGTTGTTCTATTGATTATTAACTTGCGTGTGTACTTATTTTAGATTTTTTTAAAATTGTTTGTGGAAACAGATGAACAAGCTGTTTGCAAGTCAATTTTATTTTGTTGTATTCTGAAATCCAACATATTACATCTAATTTTTCTTTGGAATCTCAAACAAGTGTTTCGAGAGTAAGTTAGAACTAGCAGTTCCAACAAGGATGGATGATTTTTATGCAAATAAGATAAGGTGGAATATCTTAAGAGTTCTCTAAAATTTTTCAATTTTCCTCTTTTCTCCTGGTCATGACCAAATATAACTATTCTCCATTCTATTTGATAACTTTGATGAGAATAATATTATTTTATCTTCAATGGCTCAAAACTCAGTAAGATAAATTTTTCTTACAACACTAAGTTATTTTTTCCCGACATTGCTAAGTTTTCCTCTGCCAGGAATTAGTTAGGGCCTGATCCTATAAATATACGTGCTGCCTCAATCAGTGTTCAAATCCTTTACATATGATATACTTTTTCTTCTGTGGTTTTATAGAATAAAGGAACATACAAAAGAAAGAGTTTAATGCTATTTGTATTTTCTTTTAATTATTAAGTAAAGGGGTCATTACCATCAGTGGCGGCTCGATGGAGTAGGGGGCCTAAAGGTAAATCGTTATTAGAGGCCTTTAGAGGCAAATATATTAATTATATTTTACCATCAACTTCTTCTAATATTTTCTTCCTAATTGATAATATAGCCAATTTATTTAATTATTCTTGAGATATTGTTGCTCTTAGGTAAAGTTTTGTTAATTTTACTTTCGAAAAATATCTTCCCCTCGGGGGAAATGTCTTTATTTTTTTATGAGCAATATTATATAGGCATGTGGAAAAAGAACTAAATCTTTTATTTCATTGAGTATATCAATTAAAGTATTATCTTTTACTTGGAGTTTGTGGTAGTACGTGCTTTTGTTATAAAATAAATCCAAAAATCAATATGGAGCTAATTAGCTCAAGGTATGTACAGAAGCTATTGTAAAATGAAAATTAATCCAAGTTGAAGAGAATAAGAATAATGAAGGAGGAAGTTATTTAAGTGCATGTCATTTATTTATTATAGCTCAACTAATTAGCCCTCAAAAATAGCATAATGTTTGGACTAGGCCATAAGGATTATTGACATAGCAAATGTATGGTTGATCAAAAGATTTATTAACTATTATAAAGAATATCGGAGTAATTATTTAAAATATATTTGTTATATATATAATATGAATAATATTTGGGGCCCTATATTTTTGGGGCCTAAAGCCTTGGCTTTAGTTGCCTTAGGGTTGAGCCGCCGCCCCTGATTACCATCAAATTTTGATTGGGACTCTGCCTATGTAAGTTCTGCTGGAGTTTCTATACTTCCTTTCTTATTTGGATTGTATAGAATCTCGAGCTGCTCACAATTGCTCATACTTTGGTTGTGTACGTTTTTAACGGTAACTTGGCTATTTTGACCAACTTGAAGAGCATGTTCCCTCAAAGGGAGAATTATGCTTTTGTTGTCTCTCCCATATATGCATTATTATTCGATTTTAAAACTTTTTAAGTTTTTTATTCTACTTTTTGCGTTATATTTGTTTGATAGACTACGTGTCGGTTGAGTTAAATTTGGATTTACATGGGCAATAGAGTAAAAAGGAGGATGATGCTTTAAGGACTTCAATTTCTTTTTCTGGGTGTAAGCTATGTTTTTATTGGAATCATTTTCCACTTTTCGACATTTTCAGCTTTAGTGTTTGAAGTTGGCATTGACAGAGTTCATATTTTGCAGGTCCACTATGTCACAAGCGGAAAAAGCTTTACTCTTTTCATCCCAAGTTCTCATCGAATGGTAGGAAGTTGCGTTGAAATGAAACAGTCTTTCGCCAACTCTAGAAGATATATTCAGTTTATACACTCTCAAGTTGCACTCAAAACTGAAGTTAATACATAAAATATCTTTTATTGTGTTGTGATAATTCAATTTATTCTCAAAGGGTATTCAAAATTCCTGTAGCACGGGCATGCAATACTAGTCTAGTTCTATATGCTAGATCCGTGTGTATGCACATGTACGTGCATACAAATAATTCAGAATTTTAATTTGATACATACAAATACAATTGTAGGTATTATTTCATTTTAACAATAGTTTCAACCTTAATACAATTATAAAATTTTACACCATACTTGATTCAAGTCGTATGCACTTAATATTAATGTGTCATTTACTTCTTCCCCCCAAACCCCGACAAAAAGTTTACTCTCTTGAGTTCACGTCATTAATACCCTACCTTTTTTTTGGTAATGAACGATTTTATTAATACAATAAACTAAGAGCTATTACAACGGTATGTCTGTTTAGGCAACAGGGTACCTAGACGTCTCTTTCTAGTACATGAAGAACAAAAGTGGGAGGGAAAAATAAGTGTGCAAAAAGCATTTATACCCTACTCTTACTTAGCAGCTTCAACTTTTAACTTTTAGCACCATTTCCACCGGGCCACCACCTAAGGATGTGATCATGAGAATCCTCCATCACTCCTCTTAACGGGAGGTTTCGAGAGGTAATAAAGTAATATAAAATCACTCGATATTTACTTTAAATATGGGTGATAAAATGGTTAAAAGAAAACAGTTAACCATCCATATTATCCATTAAAAATGGGTTGGATAATGAACTTTTTAAAAATGGATTAAATATGATAAAAACCATATTATCCATTTAGAAAATGGATAACCAATGAGTAACATATGGATAACCAATGGGTCTAACTTTTACATTTATAAATCCTCAAATTGGGGGTTCTTCAAGTTAGGATGACTAAAAATTCTCCCAAAAGTGATCATATGCAAGAATTCATGGATAATATGGTTACCCATATTATGTGCCGGTTAATCCGTTTTTAATCCATATTAAATATGGTTCGGGTCGGATAATTGATCCGTTTTTTCATTACCCGTTTTTGACGCGAACCATATCCGACCCGACCCGCCCGTTTGCCACTCCTAATTTAAACAAATAAAAAAAATATGTCTTTTAATCTTGCTAGTTAAATAATATGTTCACCAATTATTAATTTTGAGTTGTTAAAGTTAAATTATTTGATTTGGTGTAAATGTCGAGTGCGAATAAATATTTACCGTGATGAAATTTTTAATAGGAAGCGCTTGTCCTTTAAATAGGTCACACGCAACACAAATTTAGACAAATCGGAATAATGGATTCAGAATACAGATGGTTAAATTAAAAAGAAAAATTCAACATTTTTCTAGTCTATTATATTTATTTTTATTTATATATAAAAATGCCATGGTTTCAACCGCTGTTTCTTTTTTTCAAAACAAAGATTTCATATTACTGCATCAACGAGCAACAAAGTTCAAAATCCGCATGTTGCACGATGTAGTCAGGTGCAATAATCATAATCCTCCGGGCGTGATCATATGCTCAATATCACAATCCGACCGACGTGGACACAGGCTCAATATCACAATCTGCCCTGCGTGGTCACGTGCTTGTCGCGCCCCCTTTTTCCTCGTGGAGTCTGGGTTTCGACATTTTGGGACAACTCTTTTCCTTTTGAAATTGGGTATGAGATTTGAAGAGTCACCACCTAACAGATTAATGTGCGTTAGGGCACCTAGAGCAAATAACTCATGTACTAGTTTACATCACCAGAGATTGGGCAAGGGCTCGAAATTACCTTGAGGGAAAGGTGTTAGGTACCCCTCGAGGTCCACAATGGTGGGTCCCAATCAAACTTAATTTAAGCGAATTAGTCTTTAAGGAAATAAAACAGTTTAAACAAATATAGATTATTTTAAAACGGGAATTAAAGAGGTCCTAAGTTTATTAGCCTATAGGATCACTTCTATGCAATACTCGGTAACCTTTCCCAAATAGCATTAGCGCACATGGCATCATCTCCTTTACTACCCAATTACCCTCCCCTTTTCAATTATTACCTAAGCGTTCTAATAACATTTAGTATATTCCTTATGGGTGCACTACCCGTTCCTTACCTCTGGCCCTGGAGGTGTTTAGGACCTCTATTTAAGGCGGTTCTAGACCCACCTATATTGTTTAAAAGGAGAAAACTAAGCGACAAACAAAAGTCAAGTAGGACTATCACATAAGGGGCAATTAAGTGGGCTCATGTTAACCTCCACAAATAGACAAACAAATGCACGCTGTTCAAACAAGCAATTTTAAATGATTTCAGGATCCTATAGGCAGGATATCTAAATAAGCACAAACAGAATATACAACAGTTTTATTAAAATGAGCTGACGAGTACCTATCAGTTTGCCTACTGATTTTGTTAATACTCTGAATCAGAGCATATTTCAAACAGCAAGAAATCACAGTTTTAATCTCAGAATTCTTAATTATCCTACATGCTTACCTAAGTGATAACCGGGCAGAATCCTATAGACATGGTATCTAAGCGGTAAACCAACTACTGATTTTAAAAGGCAGATCTTATCCTTCAGATCCTATAGGCATGCTTTCTAAGTGTTGAAACTGGTTACAAGTGTTATTTCCTATAGACATGATATCTAAATGCAGAAATTAATTTTTCGTGTATTTCCTATAGGCATGATATATAAGTGTTGAAACACATTCCCTATAGGCATGATATCTAAGTGGGTAAAGGTGTTAACAAGTTGCCAAGCAAGTTCAATAAAGAAGATCCTATAGACATGATCTCTAATGTACACATGGAGATTTGGAAATATGGTTCTTGATGCAGAATTGACTAACTAGAAGCAGGATTTCTAGGATGCAAAGTATGAAAATTCTGGATTACAAATAGTTAAATAGGTCCTATAGGCATGGTTTTTAATGGCATGCACATAAAGAATCACTACAACAACCTATAAGCATGATTTCTACCTGAATTTGATAAAAGATATATATAAAGATCCCTCCCCATCTTTTACTAATAACCCCATATCTATTTTTTACAAGGATTATTACATTATTACAAACCAATACAAAAAATTATTATACTATAGGGAGCCTTGGCAAACCCAATGTCAACCTGGAAACCAGGCTTCAAGCAAGCAAGTCTGATATCCACAGGTAGTCCACAATACATAAAATGAGCTTCTGGTGTGTCAAAGTTCCCAAGGGCCTCAGGGACTCCGGGCAATGCTCACACCCGAACTTTTCAAAGAAACAGTTTTGTAAAGAGTTTGGAAGGCCTTCCCCAGTATGTCAGAGTTCGGAGGAGTCTCATGGAACCTAAGCATTGCTCACACTGGGGGTGACATGACCCTAGATAGTTAAAAGTAAGAGTTTGAAAACAGTATTGTATACGGCAAAAATCGGCGATTAAATTTTACGATCACCAAGGCACCTCGAAGGAACTGCCTCCCCTGAAGGATCAAATCTTAGCTCGGGCCCTGGCCTAGAGGGTTCTCGGCAATCTACTTCGAAGTAGCGCAAGCAATGATCGGCCTCGAGGAGGGGTCAATCAGTGACGACGGTGGATCGGTGTGAGATTCCCAAGGCATGTGAAGAGCTAACAAGGTCTATTAGGCTAGTCCAAACCTGTACCATGGCATTAAATGGCTGTACCAACTCCATATCTTTGTAATAAATATATTTGTACTATGTTGGGATTCTCCCTCATATATAAAGGGGATCTTTGTCATTTTGTAGGGATCTGATGCTCAATACTAAATACACAAAAACATTCTCTCTTCTCTCTAACATATTCTCTTGATCTCATTGCTTCCATTTATCGCTTACATTTATTGTGTTCTATTTATTGTTCATCATTTATTTCTTATCATTGATCATAAAGATCCATCCTTTTAGCTCTCATAACTATTAGTCCTCCCTCGGTTGCCCTAAGCCGATCCCCAGGCTCAACCTTGAGGCCTCATATACGGTAGCTCGAGGCCCCGACCTCCAGCCGTTCGGTTTGATTATCACACCGTCTCTAAGCTATAATTTGCTCTTTAATCTTTTACTTAGCATCCATTGCCTAACAACTAACATAAGAATAGAACACGTATTTTTAGAACCACAAAATCAAATTTAATTATTATTACCATTTTCATGGTAAACATTTTGGCTGCCACCGTGAGGCTAAAAATAATAGTGATTATTTTCATGCTGGTTTAACTACATAATGCAAGTTACCTTTCACACTTTTTCTTGTCCAAGATCTTTGATTTCAGGTCAAAATGTCTAACTAAGTAAACAACAATCTTGAGAACCATGGAGAGAATGGTGTGGATGTTCCAGGTGTTGGTGTACCACCACGAAACCCTGAGAATGCACCAGAACCAATTCCCATGGACGTGGTCTCACGTGATGCCCAACACATCGATATAAGCTCCCACACTAACAGGAGCGTACATCAATGAGACCAACAAGAAGCTCAGAAAACCCCAACTAGGGAAGAACGGGAGGTTAGCCTTCACGTTATTTTTGAAATGTTACTGGCACAACAGGTGGAGATTGCTCAGCTGCAAAGTCACCAAAAAACTCCCAGCACGGTAGCACCGAGGATAGATCCCCCCAGCCGAGCAAGTACTAGAGAGATCAAGCAACAACAGGTCGACAACCGACCCCGGTATCGTAAAGATGCTCGAGGACCTCACAAAGAGGATCGAGTCGGGCGAGAAAAGATAGAAGCCAATGATAAGAAGGTTGAGACCTATAATTCCAGGGTCAATCAAACTCTGGGCGCACCCCCGATTCTGAAAGGTGTAGATTCGAAGAAATTTGTGCAAAAGCTGCTCCCGTAGGAAGAGGCCCCAAAATCCATTCCAAAGAAGTTCAGAATGCTCGACCTTCCGAAGTATAATAGAACCTCGAACCCTAATGAGAATGTCACTGCCTACACTTGTGCAATGAAGGGAAACGACCTAAGGGACGACGAGATCGAGTCCGTCCTGCTAAAGAAGTTCGGAGAAACACTCTCGAAAGGGGCTATGATGTGGTATCACAACCTATCTCCTAACTCAATAGACTCATTTTCCATGCTGGCAGATTCTTTTATAAAGTCACATGCTGGTGCCATCGAAGTAGCTACAAGGAAATCTGACGTCTTCAAAATCAAGCAAAGAGAGAACGAGATACTGCGAGAGTTCGTGTCTCGCTTTCAAATGGAATGAATGGAACTACCACCGGTCTCCGACGACTGGGCAGTGTAGGCCTTCACTCA